CCCCCCCCCCCCCCGCCTCCTCAACCAATTCTGGACCGTATTCGATGGGTGCAGGCACGCCCTTCACTCTGCGGGATTGCCTGTGCTGGTTATGTCCAGGCGTGCCGTGGGATGGTGAAGAGGGCGCGGAGGAGGCGCCCGTATCGCGGCGGCAGCAGCAGCAGCAACAGGCAGAGACTGCGGCAGCGCAGCCGGGGAAAGGAGACCTAAGACGGAGAGACTCCACTGCGGAGGGAACTGTAAATACTGTGGATACCCAGGGAAACGCGGCGGAAAGATCAGGAGTCGAGGAGAAGCTGGAGACCGATACTCGAGTTATTGCAGGACAACAGGCGGGGGTGCTCGCTGTGAGTGGTGGTGGTGCAGGAGCGATGAGTCTACCGACGGTGTTGGTTCAGGGGGTGGAAGTTCCGCTGGATGCTCCGATCACGCAGGTATGGGGTGCGCTTCGGCATCCCGACCACTTCTTGTACATTGTAGTTCGAAAACAAGGGTAAGGGAAGTTACCAGGGTTGGGAACAAAATATGTTTGCGTTCAGTGTCGATCTTGATGTTTTGTGGCGTTTGATATCTGTGACTTAAGTGAACAAGGTCTAAACTCGGCTTTCGAGTTAGGTGAGGTTGTCCCATGACCATGTCCTCGTTAGAGGGTACAAGCTTGAAAGGTTCGCTCTATGTACGCTGGATCGGTTTCGTATGGGACGAGATCGAAAAATGGCAAGAGCAACATACTACATGACCATCTTGAGATCGAAGGACAACTCGGCGAGGCACGAACACTCAGGGCATGCCCTGGATTCCGCAGCAGAACGAACGCTTGTGATGTGAAAAAAAAGGCGCGTGATGCCCATGTGTTCGACGACATTGAAGGAGGGTGCTCGGGCCAGTTGTTGACGATTCCAATCGACGTCCAACGTCCAGTGCGTGACGTCTTTGTCCGGCGCTAGACTTGGTAAGGCTTGTGCGGCCGGCTCGTTGATACGGCTGGGGTGCGACACGTCACCGATCAACCACTTGGCAAAAACCCTTTTGAGCAGAAACACTAAATAAAATTAACGCTGGAGATTTCCTTCGGACAGGGCCGCAAGGCAAAGGTGCTCTGAGCGACACCAACATTCGATGCTCGTGTGGGAAGCAGTCTTCGCATTCTCCGCGGCTGTACAAACTGGCACGGTATTTTGCTCTCCACCAAGAGACTACCTCACCTTTGATCCTGTGTACACACTGATGTGCTCTTGGCGGAACACCACACTCTCGACGAAACACACGACAATCTTGACACGATACACACCCAAAGCTGTTGACGGGGAAACCTACTCAAGTGTTGCAAGGACGCACAAAAAAAAAAATCATCCGCCTACAGTGTTGTAGTGGCCCCGATATATCGCGGTCCCGAATAGCGCGGTTCCCGAATAGCGCGGTTGCTGACAGATCGTGGTTAAAATAATTTGGCACAACAACCTCAATAAAACTTTTATTCGGGGACTTTCCTTTTATGGCGCGGGTCCCGACATCACGAGGCGATTTTTCTCTGTCACTACACCGTGATATATCATGACCACCACCTCACTGGAAAATGGAAGCACGTGCCAAATCGTTACGCATAACTGACGAGAGCCGAACCATCGCAAAACAACTCGTATGGGACTCCGAAGGACGCACAACTCCAACAATGGCGGTTATCCGAAAGGGAGACCAGAAGCAAAAGCTCTGACACGCACAAACCCACGGGGAAAGGCGTAGAGAGAAAGCGCGCGGCGCTCGGGTGGGAGTTTCAGCGCTCTCCCTTGCGCCGATCTTTGTTAGGGTTGTAGTGCCCCCCGTTACCGCCGAACGTCTTGCCCAGCAGGAACTCCTTGTCGAAGGCGTTCGTCGCGAACTTGGACTTGTCCACCTGGAAAGCACAAGGAAGAGGGAGCATAAAAAAAATAGAAGCGTAAGATAGGGTGCATGGCTCAAAACGACGCTAGACGAGCAGGTGCACCTGATTCAAACACCACTTGCGTCGGTCTAGCGGGGAGCACGGAAGACAGCAGTAGCGCCGACCCTGTTGTGCACGAAGCCCGATTCCGCGGTAGCCTCGCTTTGGTGGGAGATGCAAAAGTTGAGAACGGTGCGCAGCAGTGCAATGATACGTGTTGCGGGCCTTAGGCCGCAGAGTTTGTTCAGACCCATAGTTACTGAAGCGGTGCAATGCGTTGAGGGGACTACGATAACACCGCTGTACGGCTGACAAAGAAATCGACACTTACTGATGCCTCTAAGGTAAAAAACAGGTGTGAAACCTTGGGCTACCATACCAGGGTGTGCCGCAAAGGTTGGTAGCGACAGCGGCATTGGCAGCACCAGTCTAAAAGCCGACCAGCCGCCGTCGGCATATTGCCAGATGGCACACAAACAACATTGACTGCGCAATCACCACAGCAACATCCACAACACCGACAACAACCACAACAGTGGCAACGACCGACAGCAGCACCAACATCCACTTGCCGCCGTTGGCCGCCCACCTGTCTTGCTTTGTGGATCTGCGCAGCAGTGTATTCCCTCTGCTTATCCCTCGCCTCCAGCGCTTCCCCCACCGCCTTCTCGCCGCCCACACCCCACACCTGCCATCGGGAATGACCAAACACGACAAAATGAAAAGAGTAGGTAAAGCAACATGTACACATGTTGAAATAAATCATATTCCTATGTAGGAAAACAGAAAAAAACACCTCTGGACAGGAAGAGGAAGGGGGTTGAATCGAACGCTGCAAAAGATCTCTAGCGTCACATCAAAATACCGATCCCAAAGAGCATCACATAATTCCAACTAGAGCTGCTTCGGTAGGGCTGAAAATTAGCGTGAGCAAAACACTCACGAAAAACAACAATGACAACCACGAGCGACGCGGACGTGCGCAAACCCCTCCATGACGTCTTCAGTGCCTTCACAAACCGATCAGGCCGGTCGGATTGCGGCTCCACCCATGCAACCAACAACCCATGATCCAAGACGACAAAAAAAAACGACGCGGAATAACCAAACAACGGCGAGAAAGAACGCAGGACGAGAGTCCCAGAAGGACAACAATGACCAGGCGGTGATACCCGGCATGGCAGGTTTTCTCTCTCGCACCTCCAAGATGTCCACCTCGAAGCGTCGCGACTGTTCGGGGCACAGCTCCCCCTGCTCAAAGGTCAGGCAGGCGCTTCTCCCGACGCACTTGTCGTCCAGGGCCTCCGGGATGAAGAATCGGAATGCCTCCGTCGAACCGCCCATCCCGAAACCGTGCGGCAGGCTGAAGCCCTTGAGGTTCAGGTACTGGAAGTTTTGGTTGCTGTAGGTTTCCGTGGTGGTGTGTGTGTGTGGGGGGGGGGGTACATCTAATGAAAAGTGTGACAACGTGACCACGGCGTGCTCAGTGGAAAGGGTTGGGGCAGGAACTCCGTAAGGAAACGATGCGTGCGCACAGAGTAGCGTGGACAACGAGCGGGCTGACCACAAGCACCTACATCGAGACAAGAGCCACAAAACGAACCAACACAAGCCGTGCCGTTGGCGGTAGACAGCGGAAACAACAAACAACTCGCCACAACAACAACAATACTATCAAGGGCAATAACAGCAACAACAACAACAACAACAACAACATCGCGGACAACAACATCAACAACAAACACCGCTGCACTCGCCTGGCCATTTTGTGCGGGATGATCTTAAAGTCCGGGGCCAACCTAAACAAAAAGGACGCCTCTCCGCCGTAGAACGAGTTGCTCTCCTTCCAGGGGGAGTCGGCGCAGCCGCCCCAGACGGCGCCGGACTCTCTCTCGCGGATCAAGATCACCGTGGGACCCCCGTACCCGACAAGCTTAAAAGCTACCCTGCGAAGGTCGCGCGATGGAGGCAAGCGATAAAGTGGGAAAGGCCGGTGAGCTTCTGGCGGTAAAGCGTAGTCACGCTAACCGCGCTTACCAGCACATGTCTGGCGCTGCAACAGATATGAACGGTCAGGGCACAAGTGTTCTCACAGGCGACGAGCTAAAACCTTAGTCTGGGTTTCCGTGGGCACGCGCGCAGGCGAAAGTGGCAAAGCATGGGGCGCATCTATCGCCCCAGGAGTCCCCCCCCACACCTACTATACATCAACGATGCAACCCGGCAAAAGTCAACTAGTTCGTTCTAAAACTTCGCAGGCCCTCCCAGATGTGGTTGCAACCACCAGCCACCGCCTGCGAAACAAAAAAAACGCAATTTCCCCAATATCACCCTTCCATCACATCGCAGCGAACACAATGGCGTTACCCACCTGTTAAAAGACAACCCGTCCTCTTCGCTGTTGTAGATCCTCATCCAGGGCCCCTGCAGGGCCTTGGTCGACAGCGCCAGCCCAAATATTTCCGCCCGGTGGCTGTCCAGCAGGAAGGACGGCTGCTGCGGCCGGGGAGGCGAGAAGACGGCCAGCGACGGCGGGAGGCTGGCCGCGCACGAAGGCAGGGCTTCGCGTGCAAGCAGGTTGTGCAGGGCCAGGTTCCGAGGTTGGGGTAGAGTTCGGGAGGTAAGTTCCGGGGTTAGGGCAGGCCAAGTCGGAGGTGTGCAGTCGTTGCAGCGATCTCGGAGTGTGGAGTTGGGGCGGAAGTGGTTTGGATCAGGCTTGGGGCGGCGTTGCCGGTTGTTCGTGGGTGCAATCGTTCCGAATCCTTCCGCTCGCTGCAATAATGCTGTGTTCCCTCACCTTCTACCCCCAGGCTCCTGGCGTCCCCGTAAAGAAAGCACCTCGTGTGTATAAACGTGCTCAGGCAGTGGTGCAAGAGGGGGGCCCTTTCCGACACCCACGCCGTTAGCCCCTGAGGGGATACGCCTCCCTCCCCATTACCCCCCCCGCCCGGCCCAATCTGCGAAACCCCCATTCTCGCCGAGCCGAGGTGATTTGCAACGCTCTCGGCGAGCTTGTCGGACCGAAACTGGCTGTTCTCTGAGGAAGAACCGCTGGCTGCTTCCGCGATGCTCGTGCTGGTTCTCGCGGTACCGGTGTCGGCGTTGTCTGTGGTGTGGGGGGAGCGTCGCCAAGCCGCTGTGCAGCAGCAATGCGCCGCCTCGAACAACCGGGCGAGCTGGTCAATTGTTTTGGTTGCAAGATACCGCGTTGAGCGCAGGGAGGGGGAGGGGGGGTGAACTCATGTACATGCATGTCGTAGCCGTTAGGGCATTGGCCTGAGCGTGCGGGGTGAGGAGCATTGACGTCCTGCTTTGGTCGGGCAGTGTGCACGGGGGCGGGGAACGGAGCGTGTTCTTCACGTGGCTCTTGTTGTTTCTGCTGCTAGCGCTACCGGTGTGGTTTCCAATTCGACCGACTTGGAGACTAACAGAAAGCGTTCGGTCGTGCCGTACCCGTGTGTCCCTTTCCGACCATAACGGCGGACTAAACATTGAGAAAGAGACCGAGGACATGAAACACAATCGACAAACAAAAACATGAATTGAATGAATTCTTGGCGTGTGTTGATTCTTCGGAGACGCTCACCTGCTGTTGATCCAAGGAAGACGCCCCGGTAGGATTACAGATGTTGTACAGCGCCTGAACCATCCCCGACCGGCTGCTTCTCCCAGTCAATGCCACTGGAGGAGTGATCGTCACCGTACGAGTCATCGGTGTTGTTGGTGATTGTAGTGTACGTTGTTGTTAATGTTGTCTTCGGTTGTTGTTCAGAGGCGTGGTTGCCGCGGGTGTGGTTGACGTGACGATGGATAGAGCGTCGCACGAAAACAAAAAATGCATCGGTGGCGACTCAGCGCAGAAAACACGTCGGAGTAGAAGCCATCATTCCAAGACACGGGGAGGGGGGCGCGAGTTTCAGCCTTCTCCGACCAACTTACCCCACAAAAACCTTGCCCGTTACCGCAAGCCCAACAATGTCATGTGTGCGATGGAGGCGTCCACCGACGTCTCGTTCGAGAGAGCATGCCCGATTCGAAAACCTATATCCCAACAGCGTTCCCTCCCCCGTCCTCCTCCTCTTCCTCGCACCACTCTCCACTACACGAACATCTCTGCCTTCCCCCTCCGTCCATCGACAGCGGTGCATGGTCAGTGGTCAAGCTACCAAGGCAAGCAGCGAGGTGTACCTCCCCCCCGCCCCCCCCCGGCCGGCCCACCCTCTCTGCCGCGGCGTACCTCCTTCTCGAAACCCTTCTAGGTCGAGCTTGCCCGCATCCGAGCCTGTCCGGACCTTTCCTTCCTCCAGAAACATGGCCAGCAGTCGGTCAGAGAACCAGTCCGCGCCTTCGAGCGCGAAGTGTTCCCGAAACTTTTGTGGGTCGATGTGCTTCCCTTCGGCATCGGCAAGGCTCCTGCTCGTCCGAACCCAAAAGGCACGCGATTCCAAGGTTTGTGCCGGTTTTTCTCGGGGGGTGCGATAGCGGGAGAAAAATAAGCTGTGGGCGGGACGCTGGTGATCGTGTCTGTTGCTCAAATTGTTGCTGTTTATGGTGCGTGTGCAGTGCAGGGACAGGTAGTGAGAAGCAGTGCGCGACGCCGACGAAACGCTATGAGTATTTGCGTTTCTTTTATTCTGTTTCTTGCCGGCGTCCACTAAACCAAAACGGCCTAGCGGCGGAACAAGAGGCGTCTGTTCATGCGTAGAGTGGGCGGTGGATACAACAGGAAAATCAACCTCATTGCACCCAAGCTCGGACACAAATGTGCACGTAGGTCGAGCATTGGAAATCCATAGTTGTGCTGCAGCCATTCCAATCCGTTTAGGATTGGTTTCAGCTACGGGGAAAAAAAAAACTACAAGGAGTTTTGACCGGAGAAAAAGTGACCGGAGAAAATTGACCGCGACTGATTTCTCTCGGCTCGCGAAAGCTACGAGCATGAGATCGCGGCGGTGCCTTCGCGAGACCCACCCCCCGAGGGCCCCGTCGAAGAAATTTCAATCGAAGCGACACCGGCGCCAAACCCAAGCATTTTGTCTCGCTCAAAATCTCTTTTGACTTCTTAGTGTTGACACCTGTTTACTCTGCTCCTCAGCGGCTGAATTCTTTGAGCTCAACAACGCCACAAAATCGCCACGACGACGACGTTCGCGGCCATGCCTGCCCACACCCCAGCCCTCGCCACCACGGCGAGCGTTTCAACTCGCGTCGCACGCAGCAGCGCAGCGAAAAAGTACAATACCCCCCAAATCAGAGGCGCTGACGCCTCTTGGGCAACCCCTTGTATTTTTTCGCCACGGCGTACTCCACAACCGAGTAAGATACAGACCCATGCTGGCCGCGGCTCGATGAGTGCTGCGCAAGTCTCGGCAAGGACGGTGGCGAGGGGAGCGAACAAGGCAATGAACACCGTTTCGGCTGATTTGCGGGTCGAGTTGCCCTGCGCTGCCCAGCACACGAAATTTTCGCCTGATCGATAACTCCGCATCCTGCTCATGAAAGTCCCTGTATCTAATTCTTACGTAGAGAGTCGGCCGTGCTTTATACAGCTCTAGCGTACCTGTTTGCGTCACACTCTTTACTTTTGTTGCGTGTCGGCTATGCAGTATGTAGTTTCCAATTGCATGTACTCTGTTCTCCAGTAATTGAATGCGTAGCACACCAAAGCTTTTTTGGGCTCTCTGCTGTCGATGAATCCCTCCAAAAATTCAAAATGTGAATCCATGGCATTCTTCTTTTATTGTACAGCAGTACGTACTGTACCTGAACATCTACCAGCACCTACAGCAGCAGCAGTAGTACAGCTCCAACGCGGACATGCTGCAGTAAAATGCAGAGAAGATAGTTTCTTCCGGTGAATACTACTACTGCTGTGGACTACCGTTCCTACTATTACTACTGCTGCTGTAACAGGATGTGCGCCTTTGCACAGCACACACGTCCAAGGAATATATTACTATGGTAGATCCATCCGCAGCCACATACATACTCCTACGACACCATACTACTACTGCTTGCTGTAATGTAGGTAAACTACAACTACAAATATTTGTCCAAGGAACTTATTGTGCGTCTCTCGCCAGCCTCCATAGGGAAAACGAGGCGATCACTTCTACAGCAGCAGCAGTGTGTATAGTGTTCAAGTGTGGACTACATTATTATAGACTACTACAGCGCACAGATAGGCACAGGCTTGTGAAGAAGCACAGCCGGTTATCGCTCGCTCCAAAACGCACCTTTGCGCAGTGCCGTCCTCGTTAACGGCTTTTCATGTCGGGATTACTTCCCGCGTTAACAAGAAACCACGGTACAATACAGTAATTTTTGGGCGGTAACTGGCCACCACGGTACGCTCCATGCAGTAACTGGCCACCACGGCACAATACAGTAATTTTTGGGCGGTAACTGGCCGCCACGGTAAATTCCGGTAACTCGTCACCACGGTTATTTTTTTTGTGTGGCAACCAGCCACCACGGTAATGCACAGGAATATGCATGTTTTTACGGAAACTGGTCACCACAGTAACTTTATTGTACGGTAACCAGTCCCCACAGTAGTAGTAGTGCACAGAAATAGGCTTCTTTGCTACCGTAACTGGTCACCACGCACGGAATAACTTGTACCACAGTCAAACACCCCACTATGGCACGTCGGGCCCTCTTTCGTTTGCTTGCTTTCAAGTGTTCCCAAGGGTGTGGTCGCCGCACACCAGACGTACGCGACACATTCATTCACCGAGCATCACGTCCGTCAACCAAACCGGTGGCATAAAAAGAAGGGTGAAAACCAGACAACATGTATCCACTTTATTGCACAGACAGGCTCTCGTGGCCTCAAGACGACGTAATGAGTCCATCATGCGCCAAGTAACAATATGCCATCAGCACGACAGGTAACGAGCAAGCGCCGCCTTCCTCATCCACAGAGAAACGGTTGAATTATTCGACGGTTCAACACACAATGCAACTAGTGTTTCTGTGCGGTACTGTAGATGGGATTGTGTTGCTCCTACGGTAACATACTCCGCGGTAACTCGAAAGCACGGGAATTCCGATTTTTCGGCGGTAATTTTTTGTACTGTACTAGGGGACTTCAATGTGTTCGTTAACGGTTTGGGCGCTGACGGTAAATCAATGTATCACGGAAACGATTTGGATGGGAACGGTAATTCTCATTTTTCACGAGATGACGGGAAACGGTAATTACCATGGTTTTGTTGCGGTGTAATTACCGCAGAGAGATCAACGAGGACAGCCCTTCGTGCCTGGTTGTCATCCACAACCACAAGACAGGCGCTAACCAGCGCACAACAAAAGAAGAAAGGCTATAGCACACTACTGACTGGCGTAGGCATACTACTGTACATCCATCCGCTGTGTGACATGATAATGTAATACTTCGCATTATTTAATTAGTAGAACAAAGGACTCCGCGACAGAGAAAGAGACACCCTCGTTCCCGTTACTTTATTTTTCGTCTTTTCGTCACACCGTCACGAACGAAATTCAATCCGTTCAAAGGATTAAAGGAAAGCGGACCACGGAGGATTGAAGGCAGCCCTGCCAGAGCAGAGGAGTATTAATTGTACAAAACAAAGGAGGCTTTAGTCATGTACGAGTGACAACCGCTTACCGCAAGGACGGGACTGTGAGTGACACCACCTACCGACGACCGAGCGCCGGCCCTGCCCCACGGGCTGCCTTTTCAGTAAATACTCTACACAAGGCCACTGACAAGCAGCAGCTACGAAGAGCGATGGTCTTTGGCGTACCCATTGTGTTGGGAGCACCAATGATAGGAGCTGGCTACAGCTGCCTGGGTGCTGCGGCACACAGCGTACCCCACCTCGCAGGACAAATTTCTCAGAAGACCGCCTACGATTGTTCAATGCTGCTGCGAGTTTTGCCATCACCCAAGCCGTTTCACTTCATCAATATGTAGGAGTTACGAGGAAGTGCATTGCAACACATGAGTGAAGAGCGCCCCGACACAGGGAGCGCCAGCCACGCTGACCTCTTCTCAATTCAATCACAAGGACTTTTGCGCGGCGGATTCACAACACACAGCACTACTGCTGCGCTCTGACGCTCAAACTGCCATTGCGGCACCGCCTACGGCGCCATGTGTAGCATTAGAAGTTGGTCGTTGCTTACGATGGATAAGTGACAATCTACGGCACTACAGCAGTATGTTCGCACAGGAATCGCTTGCGATATTATACAGCCCACGAGTAGGTTGGGTGATGATGGAGAAGTGCGCACGAAGCCGCACTCGAACAACTGAGACGCTGGACAGCTCCTGCTGCAGCAAATAGCAGCACTGCTGTTGTGGGGAACTGCTGCTGCTGTAGACGACAGTACTCACATGAACAGTTCCTCGAGGAGAGAAAATTCGTCAAAAGAAAACGGCCCGAGAGCAGCAGAACCCTGCCGCTCCACCCGTTCTTCCTGCTTCCCAGCCGACCGAGGCCCATTGCTTGTAGCGAAAGAGTTCCCCATTCGCTGCGCTGTTGATTCGGCTTTGCTGCACGCTGCAGACACAGCGAGCGAGATCAGAGATGTCCCTCCGCCCTTGGACGTCCCATCTCCGACGCCGTTCCAATCCAGGTACCCCCGTCGAATCTCCGAAATCTCCCAATGAATCTCCCTTTGTCCCATTGCCCCGCATTTTTCTCGAACCTGCTCTTACACCCACCGAGCACGCCCGCCCCACAGCCCCAGACTTTTACTCTCTCGGCACATCGTGTATAGTCAACAACAGCTGGACCTGGGGTGCATTGTTTCCTGGTTTCTGCGATCATCAGGCGTCTGTCAGAGCCCGAGAGGTGGGTTCCACTCTGAGCTTCACGGGACTGTGAGGATGATGGATGCAATGCGACGAACTCTGCAGAGCAGAGCCACAGCGATCAAGTCAACGAATCATACATTCTCACTTTCTGAGTGAACCTTGCCGGAATCTTTGACAGGGTGAAACCCCTTTAACCTTCTTCCTTTGCCGTGGTGACAATTTGGGCGTGATTGATCAACTGCTCTTGTGCGTGTTTAACTAGCGCACCTGCTTGTCTGTATCGCTGCACGACACCTGCTGTTGTTTTAGCAGCAACTAGTGTGGCCTTGTTTGCGGGGAAGCGATGGAGCTTCAGGTCTCGTTCCGCGGGAAGCCGCTCACCGTGACAGGCGTTGATCACGCGACGGCCGTCGAGAATCTCAAGAACAAACTGGAAGAGCTCACAGCTGTGCCAGTCGCCAACCAAAAGCTGGTGAGAGCATCTTCAAGAATGTACTTATTTTTGGATAGATGTGCTGTAGTGGAATGCGTCCATGTTTTTCGCCCACAGCCGGTAACTGGCTGAGTGACCACGCCATAGGTTTTCTCGATTCCGCCCAATGGGTCTCGAGGAAGCAGTCGTACAGTGCAACAAATGCAGCAGTCAAAGCCGTACAAACTGATTTTGTCTGTTCACCTTGTTTTTCCTATCATCTGCCAACAATCGACTCCCGCTGCCATCCTCCCCCCCAACCATGTCTTCGGAATGGCACCCAACCTGTCGCCACCCTGCGGTCGGGATGATGCTAAGCATTTACTGTTCTAATGTCCCCTAATCCTCAGATTTTGAAGGGTAAGGCTTTGCGCGACGAAGCTGGCACGCTGGAAACGGCTGGGGTCTTGGTTCCAAGCCCCGCGCAGACTGCAATGACGAAGACAGCAACAGGGAGACACGAGGAGAAAGGCGACACTTTCGTCCAGATGTCCAAGCTAATGCTGGTCGGAAGCAAGCCTTCCGAGGTAGAGGAAGTCCTCAGAGAGCAAGACCGTGTGAGGGTTCGCAATGACCTCAACCGAGAGGTCATCCCGAAGGGCTACAAGAAGGTCGCGCTCAATCACCTCCCGGGGCCCTCGGATTTGTCCCCGTACAGGTGAATAGGGCGGGAGGGGGACAGGTGTATGTGGTGCGCTTTGTTTCTTGCTGTCTTGTCCTGCGTTTGTTTTCTCGTCAGCAGGGGTGCACGGGGGTGCCGTTTGTGTTTTCACAGAGGGTAACTTGCGCGTCGAAGGAAATATGGGCAAATATCGACCGGGCAAGGGCGGGCGGGGCGAGGTCGGCTTGTGTCCGTGCGCACCTTCTTGGCGTCCATCGTGGTGCCTAGGTTGACGACCGAAGTCCAGAAGACGCCTATCAGGGGTGGAAGTCTTTGGGAACGACGGTCGCATTGGTGCTTGCCGTGTCCAATTGCAGACGACCAAGGAATAGTTTTCTGTTCCGGAACTGCGTCGCGTGATCATCCGTCCCGTCCGCAACGGGCATTCTCCGCTACTCGTATTCCTCTTCCGTTGCCTCGCGCGATACCTTCACCCATTCGATGCGCTGTCTTCGGTATGAAACCCCTCCCTTTCTACAACCGTAGGTTCGAGCGCATCGAGACCCTCCCTGGGCTGCCCGAGGAAGAAACCGCCAGGAAAATTCTGCAGTCATTGGCGGCGGACCCGGGGGTGCGCGCGGTGCTGGAGAAGCACCGATGGACGGTGGGCGCCCTGTGCGAGCTGTACCCGGAGGGCAAGGTGCGGATTTTTCATTTTTCTGGGATTCTGTGACTCTCGTCATGCGCTGCTTACTGCAAAGACTAGACTAGATCTGTAGCGCCTGTGTACGTTGTTGGCGCTTCTCGGATTTAATTTAGGGGGCTCGTGTTTTCGTTTGATCGTCTGACCTGCTATCACCAGCGTCACCTTTAGCTCTCGCTCTAGCTTTGAGAGCTCCGCCCGTCGGCCCCACTCGAACGACTCTAGGGGTGGGTATTTGAGTCACCTTTCACACAGTGTGGCAGCATTACTTCCGCTCTTTTCGCTCGTTGCATCATAGCCACGGTACCGCTTGACCATCCGCGTCCGAGATACCGTCTAGTGTAGAGGTTCTTCGGAAGGTGGTTTCAAAAGGTTCCTCACCCTCTCCCCGGGCGCCTTTCAGGTGGGGGTGAGCGATACGTGCGTCATGGGGCTGAACCAGAACCACGGCATGAAGATCCTGCTCCGTCTGAGGACTGATGACCTCCAGGGGTTCCGAAAGGTGCGCGTTGTACGTTGCGGATGGTGGTCACTGGGGGGTACGCATATTTTTTTCTGCAGTGGCAAGGTGCAGCGACGGCTTCCTGTTTCTTAGCTTGTACTTTGTGAGGCGCGGTTCTGTCCGCGACTGGGCTATATCGGCCACACTCCCGTTGTCGACCTCTTGCAACACGTCGCTCAAGCCGACTGACTGCTTGGAGTACAACATGCTTCGTCCTCGTCCCTCTCACCACGCTGAAGGTCATGTAACTATTTTTGCTGATGTCCAGAGAGCAATATGCCGCACACCAACCCGAAAATCACGTGCCGGGTTGCAAACAGCGTTTTTTGCAGTTTTCATTTTTCTTGCTAACCCTGCCCGCGGCGTTTTGTCCTTGACGAGCAGATCCTCTCCATCCGGAAAGTGCTGTTCCACGAGCTAGCACACAACGAGTTTAGCGACCACGACGACAACTTCTACATGCTCATGCGACAGGTAAGATATGCGGCGCGGGGAGTGGACATGGAGTCGCTCTCTGAGTGTCAAGCCGCTAGTCATCCATTCAAGTGTCGTGCGCCGAACGGTGTTCTGCTGACGCCGGCGGCTCTTGAAGGGTGAGCCAGTCCTCCTTAGCCATGGACTCAGTTTTCAGATATGCGGGAGTCCGGAGTGCCCCCGGGAGAACGTGTGAGCCTCACTACTCTCTGCTGCCGGCCTGTCTCTCCTCTCTGTATTCCATCCCTTCTCGACGGGGTGCGAATGAATGGCAGGAATGCCAAAGGGTTATGCTGTCACTGTTTTCTTTTATTTTTCGGGCGGGCCCGTGTGAGACATTGAGCAAGTACAACGCATTTGAAAAGCGTCCCATGCATACTGTGTGGTATAATTATTCCTCAGGGCACAAAACAAATCCCCACAACTGATCAAACAGCAAACGGTCGAATTACTTTTTACCCGACTCTCATAGCAACTCAAACCTGTTTGAAGGTGGAACGAGAAGCGGCTGAACTGAACTGGACGCGGCAGTCCGGTGGTCGTACCCTCGCAGGCCGCCCGCCCGCACCTCGTGCTGAGCCGGCCGGCCTCCCGGGAGGCGGTGGGGGCTTCGTGCTTGTCAAGGAAGCGTTCGAGGGGGGTTCGGGGAGGCTTGGGGGAGACAGCAACGCGTTCACGAAGGTGAATTGGGTTTTACCCTATTTTTTCGTTGTGCAGGCCGTTCTCTTGCTTTTCTACAAGGCCGTTTTTGTGTTCACCTGATATGGACGCCTGGAACACACGCGAGTTTTGCCTCCTTGTCGGCCTGCCTCGTCGCACAGGGTGATGTGTGTCGCAAACCACACTAACAGACAACGAAACACTCTGCTTTGAAGTGAACCATTTGGTTTGCCAAGACCTCCCGTGTCACTTGTTTGTTTCGTTTGTCTCGTGCCGTGAAAGGTGTCCCTCTGGTGCTTTTCTGCGGGACTTGAGACTTAGTACGGTAGTTTTTTTGCGAACACCGATGCTTAGGTTTGGTTGCGGCTCTGCCTCCCCTCCCCTCGTCCTGTTGCTACCCTGCAGCTGATTTCGGTCGGGTTGGTTTGGGTTGGATGGCCAAATTCACCGATCGGACCACCCTTCATCACATAACCACTGTTGCGGCGCCTCATGACGTTATCCCACCGCGAACATCCACAGCCGGTGCTCAGAATCGCCACCTTGTGGCAACTGATTTCATCCCCAACCCCCCCGTCGAAACCTCGCATCGCTGAACCACCCGGTTGCAGATCTTTTCTGCGGGAGAGATGGCGGGACAGGCGGCCGTGCAGCGGCTGACCCCCGAAGAGCAAGAGGTCGAGGACTGCTGTGGCCATACCAAGGGCAACAATCACGCCACCGCCGCGGCTACCGCTGCCACACCCGCCGCGGCCGCGCCCGTCACGGCGGCTGCTGCCTCTGCGTCCGCTGCTGCTACGACTACTCGATTGTCCGTCGCACAAAGTCCGTGTGATTGCTCGAGCGCTGTGTCCGGAGGGGTGGCGGCTGGGGCAGCCGAGGTGGAGAAAGAAGAGCGGTTGGCGGAGACCAACGCCATTGCGTCACTGGTTTCGGAGATATCGGCTACGTCGGGTGACTTCGACGACGGTGTCGCCCGGGCTCTGACGTCGGCGGCAGCGGGGACAACAAACGGGGACCGCGGCGGGAGTACCGATGTGAAACCAAGAGGTGATGAAGAACGACAAGCGGAGCGAGGGCAAGGCCAGGCAGTAGCAAGCGCGATGGATGTGACCGAAGAAGAAGGCGACGGAATCTCCGTAGAACCGGTGGACTCGCAACCCCTCGAGGCAGCAGCACCCACTCCGTTGGAGACGGACCAGGAGCCCTCCCGGGTAGCACGGGCCTCTCCAGCACCCTCACCAACACCACCACCGCCGCCAGAGACACCAGCGGCGGCAGCAACCAACCTAGCACCAGCACCACGGACACCCGAATCCTCTTCCCTGGACGAGCTCCTGGAGATGGGGTTTCCTAGAGAAGCCGCTGTGGAGGCGTTGTCTGCCTCTGGCGGGTCGATACCCGACGCGGCGTACCGATTGCTCACCTCGGGGATGATGGAATCGGGCAGAAACAACAGCAGCGAAGCTTTCGGTATGACGGCAGCTGGCGGTGGGGCGCAGGGTAGTCGAGAAGCGGGTGGCGATACTGGTAGTGAGGGAGGGGTGCGGCTGCCTCGAGACGTCAGGCTTCAGCGAGCGGCGGACAGGGTCGCCGGGCACGCTGACAGGGCCAGGGCTTTACAGGTGAGGGCTTCCCGACGGGGCACAGCAGTACGAGGGGGAGTTGCCAGTATTTAATTAGCGGGAGTTTTTGTGTTATTGCTGACTATGTAGATGGTACCGTGAGGTGGTGGAGTGCTTCCTCTCGAACGCGTTCTTCAATCGACGAACATAATGTTGTTGATTTTGGTGAGGAAAATTAAAATTGCTGGTGCTGCAGGTGCCTCCTAGGCGCAGGAGTGTTTTTCTAACCGCGCGTTTGCTTCTTTTGAACCTGTTAGCAGTACTCTCGAGAACGTTTCTCCACCCCCCTGCTCCTCTTCCTGCACTATCACTTCCTAGAATGCTTGCGTTTAACAACGTAAGTACGGACCTGACCCTTTCGGGCCTTTTCGTGCGAAATTCTGCATTCGAAGACCAGCACTACCGGTCGCCCCGGTGGTATCCGGTAGTCGCAGAGGTCGTGAGTTCGAATCCCCATGGGGTGAAAAAATTACGACATGAGCGGTTTGAAAGCGAAATGTAGCTGAAAAGCTCTCTTGAGTACCAAACTTCGACGTTAGCACCGTTGACGAGGGAAAGGGACGGCTGGACAATTCAGCACGCACCGCAGGAGGATGGTGGGGCATGAAAAGAAATAAAAATATGAAGAAGAGAAAAGCCCTGGTGTTTACCCCCTCCTTTGTGACCCTGGATGGTTGTAGTTGTACGAAAAAATTCACTGAAAAGTGTAGTACACGTCTCACCACGAAAAATGGGGGGACTGTCGCCATAATATATAGGACGAATACACACAACACTAACACCTCAACAACAACACCACAAAACGACCACACCAATATCTACAATTGCACCGGTTTGCTCAGTGCTTGGACGTGCTGGCGGCGGTGTTCCGGAACATCATGGAACACCCCGAGGAGGCCAAGTTCAGGAAAGTCCGGCGCTCCAACGGGAAGTTCAAGGTGAGGAGAGCGAGGACAAGCCAAGGACGGATCTATGCCGTGAACGTGCAATTGGTCACACAGACCGGTTGTGACAGCTCGGTTTCTGCACAATCACGAACAACCAGCGGCTGCCGATGCCGGGAACGGTTGGGTTGGAACCACCTCGCCGAGGGCACGTCTCGATCGATTTTCGTGCCCCCTTGGTTGTGGAGCCATCACGAGCTTTGAAAGTAAAGTCTAGGCGGTGTGGGATCGCTCGCGCTTCTTGTCTTGAGTTTTCACCCACCCTTCTGCGCCAGACTCAACGACCGACCGCCGGACCTTTTTTGTCCTACGTCATGACGAACGTATTTTTCGGGACGACAAAGATGTACGGCATCAGGGGTATTGTTTTTGGCGTCTGGTCTCTCTCTCCCCCCTCCCCCCCCCCCCCCCCCCCCCCCCCCCCCCCCCCCCCCCCCCCCCCCCCCCCCCCCCCCCCCCCCCCCCCCCCCCCCCCCCCCCCCCCCCCCCNCTCAGCCCCTCTCGTATCTCTGTGCATCCCCCTCGGGAATCGTTCTTGGAAACTCCTTCAGAGTGTGTCTTTCTCGCGTATGTTTGGCTTTTCTTATTTTGTTTTCTGACTCTCGGTGGGACGTCCACGACGACCTCGAAATGTTGACGTCGTCAGGGAAACTCTGTTTTCTTTCTCCGGTGTGACTGTCTTGGACACCCATGTCGAAGCGTTGTTGCCCTTGTGTCGTTGGCTACCTTGTCGTTGGTTCAAGACTGTACATACTTACGACGAACTTTGGTTGCTCGCGTCGCTGCGGGCTCCGTGGTCGGTCTTTCATCTCTGGTGGTCGCCCTTGTGCACGTCCAGGCGTCTGTGGGGGCCGTGGCCGGAGGGGTGGACGTGCTCCTCGCGGCCGGTTTCGAGGAGAGGGGCGACGACCAGCTGGAGCTCGGCAGGCAGGACCCTGGTCTCATCTGGTTGGCCAAGAGCACGGTGGAGGCGTGGCAAGAGCGACTGCGTCACGTCTAGTCTACGTAAACGCAATCGAAGCTGCTGCCGCCGCTGGTGGTGGTGGTGGTGATAGTACTGATGTTCGTGTGTAACGAAATCTTGTGCAGGCACCGCACGGCAATGCATCGCTTTGGCGAAACAAGGTTGTCGACCTGTTTGCAACAGAATGGGCTCTGGTTTCGCAACAGTCCCGCGCCTAAACGTGTAGATAATTATCCCGGTAGTGCTACGGTAGGTTTTGGGTAGAATGCATGACTTGTGCTGTTTCAATGGTCGTCGGTCGTACACGCGAGTGTGCTTTCCACAGGCAAGTGTGTAGATATCCCCGGGAGGTTGGATAGGTATTGCGTCAGTTGTTCATCTCCTTCGGAATGCCAAAGACATTGGTCCGTTAGAATATGTTCTTTTCCTCCCCACGTTTGGTGTATATTTTTGTGGAACTCCCGGCCGTTGCTGTTATGAACCTCTCCAAAATTCAGGAGATGTACAGTTTTGGGCTTGGTTGGTCTTGCATCTGTTAGCAAGAGACCAGGAGTAATTTCTTCGAATGTCGCCGGAGAATGCAGAGAGAGAATGGTGCTCGCAGTTTTCTGATTGGTCAAAACGTTTTGGATGGAAGCTTGGTTGGTCGAAAATTCCATGGTCGACCGATGGCGGCATCCACGGCTACGACTCTTCGTCTCTACATAACGCCCAATATAGCACCAATTGGTGATTCCAGGAATGGAAGGCGGCACAACCACATGTCCCCCTCTCAGTTTATTTTCTTTCCTTGCCTTTCTTGGACGATTAGCGTGGTTGCGAGGAAGTTTCGCCATTCTGGGACAGAAGCTTTGCTCTCCGGCCAAGCAATATTGGATGTCACAAGAGGACTCGGCCTCGCGACCTTTGGCGCAGCATTTTCCAGAGAATCAATCGATTTGGAACATTTCCTCGTGGTCGTCTGCTCCTCAAAAAGGCAAATCCCGCGTTTCAATTCAGGTTTGGGTTAGTTCGCTTCTTCAAAATTCTGAAGCGGGATTTGATTCCTTCGCATCACCCTGAGCACCTTAGAAAAAAAAAATTTCGACATTCGTACTTAATTGAACATATTACGGAGTAAATGTACAAATTACAAATCTCCCATCCCACTCGCTGTTATATCGTGCTCCTAATAAAGCAGCCCGCCACATGTGCTACTGTCGACCCATGACAGAAATCCTGCCGGAAGTCGACGCCATTCTCATTGCCACAAGAAAATACACTACGCATGTACGCCAAGTTAAAATTCACTTCCTCTACACACAAGGCTGGTTCAGCACCCAGTTTCACGTCGCAGACAATTTCGCGAGGAAACCCTCAAGCTTTTCGTCGAGCTGTTTTTCCAGCCTCCTGTGTGCTGCTTCGATGTGCTCCTTAGTCATGTCCTCTACATGGTCTCGAAGGGCCTGCAGGTCCGCCGTAGCTAAGCGATCCGCGGCTCTTGCGCTGACGCAACACTTCTCGCTTGCGACAGGGTTCTTCAGGTGCATCCGCAGCGTCGCCATCCCGACCCCGGTCACCTCCTTGAGCATGTCATCTACCGTGTGTATTATGGGCCCCGAGGGTCTTGCGCCTTCAAGACCAAAGGTACGTCCGAAGAGTACACGCGTCGCTTGGGTCACCCATGAAACCACAAGGCACAGAGGTACACCAAGGGTGATCCACAACAGGCACAGCATTGTTCGTCCCACTCTCGAAAGGATCGAAAGCGACCGCTTGCGGCAGATCGCGAACAGGGCTTTCGGGGTGGACACCAGCCACACGAAAATCCCTCCGAGGATCGCGCCAGGACCCAATACGAGCCAGAAAACAATTCGCCCCACGCCTCGCCGGGCGATCGGGTACGTGTTGCTCTTGAACAACAAATCGACCATCTGACACGGAAGAAGCACTACCAGCTGTGCCAAGTTGAACGGTGCAGGCAGTGCGTCGGTTGCCACGACCCACCGATAGTGCGTGTAGACGCGGGCCCTGGACACGCGAATGAGAACTGCCTCCTCTACCTTTCCGTGAGCCGTGCTCAGCACAGCAATGAGCAGGTTCAAGAGCATGATGGTCATGACGAGCAAGTAGCTCACAAGCAGCACGGTAGCCGCCAAGTCGTGCTTCTCCCCAACGAAGTCATCAAACAGTCCTACCTCGCCGAGCATTGCCTGAAACGCGTCAAGAAGCGCACCCCGTAAGGTCTCTCCCTTGACGTCTCTGAACAGCGCGAAGAAGGACATGGCAAAGCCCAAGATAACGACGCCCATTACCACGAAAAACTGTCCTAGCTCCGAGGCCATGCTGTACAGCACCTGAATGGTACTCCCCTGAGAGGGAATTACTTGAGCATAGTACAGGAGGCGCCAGTACATGAGCGGTGAGCCCACCGCGTAGAGTCCTCGACCCCACGAGCTATCCGAATCGATAGCCCTAGCGAGGAATGCCGCAAGTGCCACCACTAGGGCCAGGAAGTGGGGAGCTTTCCAGCGATCCAGCAGATATCCCGCCAAATCTTTCCACATCTCCGTGGCCTCCAACATGATGGCTGCCTGCAGCAGAAGACGGGCACGAAGGAGGGGTCACGAAGAAAGACATCATTTGGACGATTGCCCGTTGCGAAGAAGAGCATGCGGACGTTACGCTTTTTTATTATTACCACGCGTTGTGAGGGAGGCACTGAATACTACCGCGTAGCACTATCCGCCTTTTGTCTGCTTGTATGCATGTCCACCATTCTAGTTATAGCTCACATCCCGATTTGGGAGATGAGGCAAACCCCGAATAACGAAGGCACAACCTTTCGTGCTGGATCAAAACGGGCTCTCGACACATATTTCACTTACCACGACGTAGATGGCGAAGGCCATTTCCGCAATCGTTAGCGACCCCTTCTCGAAAAGGAGCACCCTAGAGGTGAAGAACGCGAGAGCGGCGGTGAATACTGTGGCGTCCAGAGCCATCCTCATCAGCGGTACCTTGTAGTAGCTGTTCGGCAGCGCAACTACGCCCGTAGCGATGAAATGAGCCCCAGGGAAAAAAGTCAGTGGTGCCAGCCGGTCATCCTCCCAGAGGAGCTTGCCGACCCTGGGTAGGAAACCACCCAGTATTGACCCTGGGCACAGAGCCGTGAGGCTCTCGTGCCCCTTGGCTTCCTCCCGGACATCGAGACGCGACTTCTCAAGGATCAACACAGAGTGGCCGTCGTTGAGGGCTGGAAGACCCCTGGTAAACTTCAGCAGCATGAAGTTCATGCAAAGGGGAGTTGTAGCGAAGGTAACGATTCGGTGAGGACAGCCCAAGGCCCGGGCTAAGGGGCCCCGCTCCCCGTAGGTGGAGCTATCGTCGGCCTCCTCGGGCTCCAGAAGGGCGGTGCAAGCGGCCATGCCCCCAGAGAGGCCGCACACAGTCTGTGGCAACCGGTCCAAAGTTTCCGTCAGGATCGAGTCCACGTCGTGCTGCAGGCGGGCCAGCACCCTGCGGTCCCTCTCGGAAGCGGCACTCCTAATGGCATCGCGGAACGCGAACGACAGGTTTAGGCTCGGAATGAACGAGTTTTTCGCGGAAGCCACCGCCTGAAAAAGACACTCGTCCAGCTCCTCGTAGTCGATCGCGCGACACAGAATAACAAGGTCCGCTGGGTGGGGCTTTGTTCCGTGTTGCAGCAGCATCGATAGACCCCGCAGAGGATCTTCGATGGTATGCCGCAGACCCTGGGTTTCCGTGGTGGCCACACTAAATGCCTCAGCTAGTACCCGCGCCACCTGAGAACAGGCGGGGGATGAAGATAAGCGGCTCGTCAATTCTGTACATTGCTAGGGCTCGAGAGGTAACAATACCGCGTTGATGAACTTCTTGAGATGTGAGCCACTACAATACGAGCACCTCTCTTTTTATTCACTTCCAAACCACAAGGTCTCTCGCTGACCTCATACGTGGTGGACGTTTCCAGCATTGCAGCAAGGATCGTTTCAAAAAGCTGGCAGTCTCCAACTCGAGCAGCGAGGGCAATGAGGTTTGGGTCAAGGAGTTCCCTTGTGGCCTGCGCCTGGTCCATGCTTTCCAAGACCTCCGATACTGCCTCCGGCTGGCCACTCCGTATCGCACTCAGCAACGTTGATTCTTGTAGCGCGTGAGAAACCAGAGCAGTGGAAGATTCTGGTAAGATCCATGGGACGTGTGGAGGTATATACATCGCCGATGTACACCAATGCAACGGCACGAGCATCCCACAAAAGCTACTCAGTACTAAACTCGCAGCCGAGTTGTACAAACCGATGGAGCGGGGAAAAGCTTAGCTCAAACCCTGTCTGCACCTGAATCCGCTCGCAACTCGTATCGTTCATCAACCTGATTTTGTTGTAGCATTTAAGACAGGTGCAACCGCTGTCCCATCCGCCCCGTGTGTTTCATCTGCCACACCTTGTGGGAACATCGATCGCTTTTCCTGCGACACTGCACCTGAAATATTCGGGCGTGATTCGCCCCCAGAGCGATCGCCTCGCGGTCCTCCCGTCGTTTGGCGGCCCGAGCCAGTCCCCCGGGGGGCCAGCTTCTTGCGCACCCCGCCGCCGTGGGCCTGACTCCTGATGATATCATTTGGCGCACCCGTGAAGGTTTTCCCAGGTCTACCGATGGCGCCAGCCACCGATGCAGGTAACCCTCGAGATTCTTCTGTCGTCTGACCAACGGATCCTTCCCTGACCTCTACTCGACCGAATCGGCTCCCCTGGACATCTTCGGCAATACCTCTCCCACTTTTTTCTCCATCGAGCTCCGATTGTCCTCCGTCGTTGCGTGACACAGCCAAAAGCCATTTACCAGATGCTGTCGCTGGCCCTCCCTCGGTATCGCGAGGCGAGCCAGCCCCCAGGGCGGCCAGCTTCTCGCGCGCCCCACCGCCGTGCGCCTGGCCTCCTGTTCGGTCGTTTGGCGCACCCGCGAAACGTTTCTCAGGCCTATCGGTCGCGTTATCCACTGCTGATCCAGGCACACCTAGAAGCCCTTCCTCCGTCTGACCAGCAAACCCTTCCCTGACCATTACTCGCCCGGATTGTCTCTCCTTGACTTGTTCGGCAATGCTTTCTCCGTTTCCTTCTCCATCGAGCTCCGATTGACCTTCGTCGTTGCGTGACACGGCCAACAGCCATGTACCAGATGCCGTTGCCGACCCTCCCTCGGCAGCGCCAGCAGCGTCAGGTTGCTGGTGGCGCGTCTCCAAAGCGGAGGTTAGCGTATCTCGTTGCTCTTCGGACCAAGAAAAGAACGTCGAGCTGCCATGGCGCCCTTCACCGCTGGAGTTCTGGGATGAAGCCGCCCGTCGGCTGTCGGGGGACGACGAAGCCACCGATATCAAGGTGGTTTCGTTGTCATGACCATCAGAGGTTTCACCTGACGGGACCAGCGCCGGCGGGGTTGTTCCACTTCTGCTGAAGGCGCTGTTGCCTGACATCTTGCGTCAACCCTGTCGATAGTTGATCAAACAAAAAACGGTTCGGCCAAAACACAAGAGAATGAAGACGGGTAATGCAATCGTCATGATACATTTTCTAGACAAGGGCACGCAAACAAAAATGATGATGCCGTTAAACATGCATCACCATTGGCGTGTTTGGTGTGCACAATGTGCCTCCACTTTCTCCGAACGGTGTTGCACATGATCGTCAGAAGGTGTATTGAATATTCTTTTGTGGTTGTGATTTAGTTTGTGTTCCTCTACAAAAACCCACCTACCTACACGTCCTGTCGCTTATATGCCCAAAGGCTGAGGATAGAGACGATGTGTAGGTGGTTTCGGGTTTGCGTGTTAGGTTGTATAGAGTAGGTCAGGAAATCAGTTGATGGGAGGCCTTCCACGGCATCCGATGTTGGGTTGGAATTCCGCTGGACTGAGGTGGGGCAGGGTTGGGCGGGACCACCGGAACAGTATTAATATTTTGCAGTAATGGTTGGGGGCTGCCTTCGGGAACCGAGGCGGGCTTGATGAGGAACAAGACCCGCGGGAGCACGTCGGCGGGCTAGTCGACGCTGGGATGGGGATGGGCTTGGGTTGATGGCAAAGCAGGGGCTGGGTAGAACTGGAAAGTAGGACCGCGTTGGGCAGTGTCAGGTTGGGTAGGAGTCGGATCGGGTTGGAGGACCTGCCAATATCATTGATAGGTACCTAAAGTTCCCTGTTGAGTGCCGGGGTGTGCGCTGAGATTTCACCGGCACGAAATCGGACACCGGCACTCTTGCGTAGAGTGCCTGAATAGTGCCAAACCGTTATCATGCAGGGTCTAAACTACTTTCAATAGTGCCAGACCGGCACGATTGACTAACTGTTTGATTTCAGAGTGCAGCACTTACGCTTTGCGGGGTCAACATAGCACAACGAACCGTAAATGGTGAGATTTGGCGTGGGCGGCGTGGGCAGACTTCGCCACGATACCTCTGGTTCCTACCCTGTGGAAGACACTGATTTTACTGTAGAAAGGGAACTGGACGGGACAACATTGTTGCACCGTTTTGCTCTACCTGCCTCAGGACACGTACTTAAACCCTTGAACTGAAAGCCTTTACATGAACACGACACAGGACGTAGGTCACAGCTGTTCAATGTTTTGCAGGCAGGAGAGCCATGACGATGGCCGTAAACAGATCAAACCAATCGCGAAACCTCAAAAGCACGCCTCGACATCGACTGGAGGGCAATCATGCACTTGATGCATCTTTGGCGAAAAATGTTTGTGAAACTCGCTGTCGTCAAAACACGCTTCCGCATGCGCCGTTGGGCCGCCCGCCGCATCCTCCCTTGCAGACATGGCTATTCGGGGCGTGCGGTGCTATGTCCTGTATGTAGCACAGTTTACCTTCCGCGCATGGCATGGTGCGCCTCAGCGTAGAGCTTTCTCGGGTCTGCTTCAGCACGTGTACTCTGTGTGTGCTTTTTGCTTTGGGTGTGTTTTTCTTACCATGTAGCATCGACCGCGTCAACCGGTCGATCAAGGAAAAGACGTCAAAGTGCGATTGAAAACTGTTTGCGTGCGTGCTTACACCGGCACTATTTTGGGGTTCAGTGGTGCCTGAACCGGCACTATCGTGGGCAGCCCTCACCAGTGCCGGTCTGGCACTAGTCAGGCCTCTGCCTGTGCGCCGAAATTTGACTGGCACTAAACCGGCAACCGGCATTATTCAACCGGCACTTAACAGGGACCTCCACTCGAGTATGTAAGTAAAAGTGAACAAACGATGTTTTTCCGTGCCTCGGCATAACTTCCTCTCGTGGCAGCGATTCTGTTCTCACGCGTCTTTCTCAGGGGGGATGCACGGGTCTCGTCGGTGCATTACCGGGCGCCCTAGGACGGTCAGCCATCCGTGGCACGGATAATTGACGCCTCATAATGAGCCGCGGAGCGAGCGAAGCGAGCGACTTTTTTTCCCTTCGTTCCCAGGAGGGAAAAAAAAGCTCTATATATCGGCCATAGTTGCGCCGCGCGATACAGGGCCCCCAAAACTTGACTACGGGGAAGCCTATATAGCATACCTTTGGGACCAGAATGAGATCTATAGGGCACCGATTGACGATCTGTTCGCTTCTGAGGAAGAAGAAAGATAGTGCGCTCTTCTCCACACCGGTTTCGTCGTGCTCCGAGAGCAGATGGCCGTGCTTCACCGGCATATGTAGCCTATATTCGTAGGAGATGTTGCTCCCCAACCCCGGGGTTTCTACGCGAAAAGGCGTGCACAAAAGCGGAGATCGCGCGCGCACCCGATTCAAGGACAAGAAACACCGACGGAGACGCAAGAACACCACCAACAAACGCATCACCGCTGAGACGCTGGTCTGAGACCAGCGATGAAAACCAGGAGGGGCCGGGCCTATACGACCTGTGCACCGTTGGTATGCTGTAGGTATCCGCCATGTGTAACCTGGCGGGTGTTTATTGATGTTGAGTGGGCCCAACCAACTGCTTCAAAAAGAGCAGACCGATGATTACACAAACAACACACCTTCCCACAAGCCCAGATCACACCTACCATCATTGAGGGAATCCGTCGAGGGCGTGAGGGTCTACTACTGCTGTGCTGCTGTGCGTTATCAGGATGGTTCCCCGCGGGATCGGTTCAGATTGCGTACTTGCGCCGCGCTACTGACTGACTGTCTTCGCGAAGAAAGCCGTGCCCTGCATGCTGTTGTTGCTGCTGCATGGCTGCAGCAGGGCCTCTCGGTCTCTCGCATTGAAGCCATGACGTCACACGACCATCAACGGCTTTTTGTTGTTTTTGGTTCATGCTGGACTGCTTGCTTTCACTTGGGCGGGAAACTCGGAAGGCTTGAGACGAATGTGGCGGGGAAGTTGTGAACCTGACGCAATATTTTCCATCTGTCGTGTCACAATCCTCCTATGTCTACGCTGCTGGTCGTGCTCCTCGACGGTGTGATGTGTGATACGCTCACCGCCAGGGGGATACCGCATGTGTGCCTCTTCCAGATGCCCAGATCTTCTTCGTGCTTTCCGTCCGCACAGCGGCGCACAGCGGGAAGACTCCACATTGTTTTTCTTCGTGCATGTGCATCACAACGGAAAGAAATAACCGCATGTAAAGTGCAAATTTTGAACGGTGGCCGCACATTCAATCAATGTCGGTCGCTCCCGTCGCACGCCTGCTGTCCCTCTGTGGTGCAGTCCCTCTGTGGTGCACGCGTAGCTGCACCACAACGATTCACGCTGGTGCATGTCGGGATTCGTGCACCATCAGCACCGCAGATAAGACTACTGCAAGGTATTGAGTCGCACCACGCGGCTCATTACCCCCCCATACCTAGTATATCGGCCAGACTGACTCTATTTCGCGGGGCATTCCAAACCGCAAAAAACTTCCCGGGAAAAATAATGCATGCAATCATCTTTGCATGACCACCCACACGCACGTTCCCACACACGCGAGCAGCGCGGTAGGTACCAAAAGGTCAACAAAATCATCTCTTCAACAGGTAAGAGTCCGGGATCAGCCGGGATAGAATGATCGATTTAGCGCATGTGATGACCGACCTGTTCTACACGATTCCCCGAGCATCATAGTCTTCAGCGATATCTCTACTGTGGATAACAGGATTAACAAGACAGTTTGGCGGCCATAACCTGACCAAGTCATGCTGACAAGCTATGCTGACCAACTGTTATGGAAGGTCTGGAGCACCTGAGATTTGGGTTTGTAGTGAGCCCGACAGGACATACCACTCCGGAATCGCCTTGCCCCCTGCGATTTGGAGGCCCGAATCCCGGCGATTCTAGTTACTCTTTTGGCCTAACCGAATGTTGAAGGCTAGGCTCGCACCTTGAACGAGACCCACACCGTGGCCGACCTAAACCAACCCAAACTCTCACCCACGGCCAACGCACGACCTCTCCAGGAGCGGCCGCGAACTCGGTGAGAACGCGGCTGCGGCGCGTTCTCGGAATGCGGAACGGTGAGGGGGCGCTGGAGAGGGTCAAGGCTCAGAGGGCGTAAGACCGCGTAGGTAAGAAGAGTCACACACAGACGGTAAAACTACCGGATTTTCGATTTTCGGCTGGGATTTGGGTTTGATGCCGTCAAGCACGGGTTGTTGCGCGCACGCCGCACCATGTGCACGTTCGTTTGCACTTTCACCGCCTGTATTTGGTAGGTGTCGCCATATCTATACAGATCAGATGTTTGCCGTCTGTGCTGATCTTACATACACCATCCACCAATCGATAACATGTCCACGAGACAGGATGGTGTGGAGAGAGGCAAAGACGACACACACCCTTCCTTTATATCAAAGGAGAAAAGGACGCAGTAGTAGATAGATCATGGTATCGCTGCTGCTGCATGCTCTCATTTACAACTCCAACCGGCCGTTGCCTAATTGCTTGATGTGCGCTGATTGATGATGTGATTCTGCTCAATATCGCAGAGCAGGTAGGTAGGTGTGGTTATCCTCCCTCCCAATCCTACGGCGTAGTCGCTGTTGATGTCGGTCGTATGTGGTCGTTCGAAAGGATCAACCGTCAATTCGTGGTCTGTCAAGTCAAAGCCAATACTTTTTTAATAGTTTTTTTTTAAGAGAGGTGGCCCGGTAGGGACGCTTATTTCAAACAAAGGCTGTTTAGAGGGGGGGCGAACTCATTTGTTGCTTGCCGTAGTCATTTGACCATTGACCACGCGTCCCTTTCGAGACGGAGCACCGTTCCTACCCCTACTAGAGACACCACCAACATTTGGGAGCTCTTTACGTTTCTACCACAAACTACATGAAAATTTATTGCACATCTTATCCCCGTCCTCTACGGCCTCTTGTGCCCACCATCTATCCCCAATTACCGCGATCGTTTTTTCGCTGTTGTCTAATTGACCAAACTTGTCCATGTCACACCCTCTCTGTCTCATGTACTCCTCGAGATCCTCTCTTTCCTTCCTGTACAGCTCACACTCCCCAACTATGTGGGGTCTACTCT